TTCGGTACTTTTCAATACTTCTGAGTATATTTAGTATTTCAGTACCGATTCTCCCCTTGGCTTTCTCTTTTGACATACCCAATTATCCTCATTCAGTTTTAGGCGTTGTAATTTCAACACACAATTCAGTGAAAACATAGACGGATTTTCATGTTTTATGCATTCGTTGACACGCTGACAGTGAAGCGATTTGTACGTTTAATCAAAGGTGTCCAAATGATTGAGAAGGCTTATAATTTGTGTACACCGATGTTCAATCATATTTGAATGTCATATGAATCATGGCTATAACAAATATTTGCTCCGCCTTGTGTACACACCAATTAATCGCGACGCGATTTTTATTTTTATTTTCCAAACAATTATGATCAGACAATTGTATTTGAATTCAAATAATAGACCAAATAAACCACAAAAAATCCAAGTTTAAAAATACTTACCGTTTGATTTCTGTTTGAATATGAAGAAAGATAAAGTAATTTTTTTGCAGCGTTTTATTTCATTTTTTTCAGTTTATTTTCAAGTTTTAATGGATTTATGACGTATTAAACTACAGTTATTTTCATTGAAATTCTCCATTGAGATAACATTCTGAAACCAGCGAAGCTCTATATAAAATTATGTATATCATGTGGGAATTCTGATTTAAATTGCCCATTGTCTGCCCATGATATCTAGCCATACCGAGTTCATCAGCACTTTGCGAATGGTTTGCTAAATTTCATAAGTAAGGGCAATATCACAATTAACAACTGGTTTTTATTTGCGTTATGAGAAATCTTTCATATGTACTCGTACAGTTTTGTGCAGCCAAAAATTGCATCGGCTACCGTTCTATTTTACCATATTTAGATTGAGCAAATTCGAATCGACGATGTCATTGTTTTTAATTTAAACATATGAATGGGGTAGAATAAAAACTACTTCTCGAAAAATGTTTAAACACGAAACCTAAAAAAAACTTTCAATGAAAAGTGAATCAATTTTTTTTCGTCCAATTGAAGTGAACCAAAAAAATTTGTTCAATAAAAGTGAACCCAAAAAAAAAATTCATTTTTGTGTATTTTACACTGAAAAAACCGAGTGAAATTTTTTTTTTGGTTCACTTTTATTGAACAAAATTTTCTTGATTCACTTCAATTGGACAAAAAAAAATTGATTCACTTTTTATTGAATTTTTTTTTAGGTTTCGTTTTAAAATAGCAATTTTTCGAGAAGTAGTTTTTATTCTACCCCATTCATATGTACGTTGCATTTGTCATAAGAGTTGGCATTGAGCGAATTATTAGCCAAAATCAATTGGATATATTTCCTATCTATTCTAGGTCGTTTCACTGTTGGCAACTTGTTGGTCGATCATTCTAAACAATTTTTTTTATTTTCTTTCGCTTGTTTTCATCTTAATTAATTTAAATAATACGTCAATTCGAACCGTGTTTTCATCACACATTATTCTGGTTATTTGGCATGATTTCAATACTTCGTTAAAATTGTATCACAATTTCTGCATTCAAATTATTCATTGAAATGCAAATATTATTCACGTCACACAATGCCGGAAAATAAATTTGTTGACATTTTTTCCCCTTTTTCTCTCCTTCATAAAGAAAAATGAAAATAAAATAAAATAATGAGAAATAAAAAGCTGAAATTCCCAGTGAGATAGATCGAAAATCAATTTTTAGATCAATGATGAGAAAAAGAAGAAACAATATTTTAATCTCAGTGTGAATTTATTTTGATATTCTACAAAATATTTTTTACACGCCCAATCTGTGCATGTTTATTGCAATATCCATGGGGTTTTCATGTTGATCGTGAATTCAGCTCTTCTCAATTTAATGGTTGCACATACATCAAATTGACATACGCAAAAGAAAACATGAGATAAAAAAAACAATTGTAGTGAGTATAACAACAAATTATAGAGGAGAATTTAATTCAAGTGGTATTATTTTAAGAATTATAAAAACAATATTATTTAATTCAAAACTCAGCCAATGCCGTATCGTTCGTTGATGCATCAATGTTCAATCTTTATGGTTTTATAGAAATCCTCCTGGCATGAACTCGAATTCTATTTTTGTCTGGATAATTATGATTGAGAGCGACTTTTATGACCATAATGAATTTTGCCTATTAGCGATTAGGTCGAATCCATTCTGTTTCTGTGGCCACGCAACAATTGCTATGAAAAATAAAAATCAATGGATAAATTTGTGTGATAAAAATCGTTCGTACTCATTCAGACAATAAAAATTGTACTGCATATGCATTTTGAGACGGAATTCAATGAGCGTATTTCGATTTTTACATTTTTTCTACGTGATAAACTCCAAGAATTATCTACAGTGATATGCACGCGATCGAAACTCATCACAAAGCAATTAAATGGCAGTATTGATGCGATTCGGATGGTATTTTCTTTTTTTTTATTGATCTACTGATCACATATTGAATTATTTTAAGTTTAATGGTTAGTTCATAGAGTATATTTTAAATTATTTACGAGAATAATTCGCATAGTTCGAAATGTATCGATATTAGTCCATGTTTGCCAGATCCTCTGGCCCAGAGGGTATATCGAATCTGTGTTGTGCGATAACCGCCGCAAATACGACAAACCATTGTTCGACCGGCAACCGTTTTCCATCTACAATTACCCATTTCAGTTACGATGTCAAAGTACGCGAAAATAGCTCAAGAATTGTAATGAATAAAAAAAGAAGAAAATAAAGCGAGAAGAAAAAAAAATTGCGCACCGTCAAACAGGTCTTCTTCCGACAATTACATGTGTATGCCTGAGAGAGCTTCTTAGCGGCGGCCACGACGTGACGATTGTATTAAGAATTTGTTGGCATTTTTCACATAGTATAACCGCCACAAATAATACCATGAAACTGGTTCTTTTCCAGCTAGAACATCATTACGATCATACCCTCGGCATCAATCAGACGTCTTCATTTCAGCAAATCAATTGTTTCTCTTACCTGCTGCAGCATAAATTCTGTGCGTGCGCGTTTTTAGCTCAATGTGTTGGTGTAAGTTTTAGAATTTCAACAAAAAAAAAATCGAGAAAAAGTTGTTCAAATAAAAGACCAGAATGGAGGTTTTAAAATTGATTTTGTTAATTGTGTATCTATTTCCATTCGAAACGAATGGTCAATTTCGAATTGTGGGTCTGTTAAATGTCGACGATTCAATAGCAAATGAAAATCATCCAACCACACACCATTCCAATGCTCAAGGACGGGGATTCAGTGGCGACGAGGCTTTGAAGAAGTTTTTGATTCGACCAAAAAATATCGTTCGCGTTCATTTAATTGATGATGTGCATCAAAGTGATATATTTTCTGGAACAGATAACATTCTCATGATTCGAACAAAAAATCGAAAGACTCAACAATCGTCTAATTCTGTTCACAATGACACCAATGCTATTATAAAAAAGCCATCGAAAACAGGTAATGTAATGTAGAACAAATTCCAATACGAAGACTTCTTTAACCATTCTTTTGTTGAATTTCCACAGAAAAAATTACTTATCGTACAAAGCGACCACAATATCAACAGAGATCTTCGATTCCATTGAAACATACTAAATACCAATTAAACAGTGTAATTCCGGATGCATCAGAGAATCGGTCATCAGTTAATAACCCAATTCAATCGAAACTAAATAAAGCAGTAAAACGTAATCGTTACAAATCACGGTGCCGTTGTGTGCGCATCTCGAATTGTCCAAGAATTCAAATTTCTGTGTCACGTTGTGAACCAAATTATTTTCTCTGTTGCTTTTAAATGACTAAAAAGTGAATTTGAAGACAAAAATGAACAATTTACAAATTACATAAATTTTTCAGAATATTTATTTGAAAACCGTGTGTGTGTGTGTCGTTCGTTATTTCATACAGAATCTAGTAACTAAGCACGAATAAAATTTACTCACTAAACATAAATAAGTGTAGAATCGTGTGTGTATGTGTTTGTGTGCAAATTTCATAAAATTTTGCATTTTTTTCATTATTTTTTTTAAAAACATAGAATTAAAATACTCAATTTGTTGCAAATGTTTAAGTGGTGTCAATTAAAGAAATTCTCCCATTGGTTTCAGAATAATATCTTGGATCTGAAATTGAAATAAGATGTGATCTTGTTAGAAAGAAGAAACGACAAAATACAAGAAGTAGATAAATAGAAATTCAGGTAATGCATAGCGAAAATCAAATCATAAAAATAGAGATTGTAAAAATAGCTAAAAGACCATTTTGCTTAGTAATCATTTTATAAACGTGCACAAAGAAAAAAAACGACTGCATATTTAAGACACTCTCGAATCGTTGTTGATGTTGAAGATTTAATTATAACCCATATAACTCATTTGCGGAGTAATTTTGTCGATGACGGGACTGTGCGGAGTTCGGCGGAGATAGCATGCAAATGCTGTGTGTACGAGTGCAACAGCATTCTTTGCTGTTCATAGATTTATTTTCTCCAAACGAACATCTTAGTAGCCGTACACACAACTAAGTTACTAATCATCTGCGTAAGAATGATGCACATAGAAGTGCTGTTACCCTCGTACACACAGAGTTTGTATGTCATCTCCGCCAAACTCCGCACAGTCCCGCCACCGTCAAAATTACTCCGCAAATGAATTATATGGGAAGCGGTTAAAAATGCACGATAATTGCACTAAATACACTCGGAGACAAAACAAAAACAACCAACTAATTTTTATCATACACATAACCATTTCATGAATGTATCTACTATAGGTGCTTGCATTAGTAATACTTTTCTTTCTTTTTCCGTCAATATCTGTATTTAATTATCTTCTCAGCTTCAAACAAAACTCATTTAACCACACCATTGCTGCAAAGACACTTAGTTATTAGCGCCATCTAGTTCGTGCGAGAAAAAATCTTCACATTTCACACACGTACTATTGAGTTACTTCACTATGCAATACAGTGAGGGCGCCAGTGATACGTGTTTTGCAGCAACCCAGTGCATTTAACGAAGATAAAATCGATTCATTTTCATGGAAGAACGTGAAAAAGAATGAATCCAAATGTATTCTAAAGGAACTGTAACTTTTATTGCTGCTGGCTGTATCTATCTTCGAGACGTGTCCATTCTGTTTTGTTGCTTTTTTTATGATTCCACACAAGTTATTGTTAGATAACAGAGCATTTGCAAATGAATAAAAAAAACCGACGTTTACTTACTAAAACGTGCTGTGGTGTCGTGATTGCAAATACAACAGCTTTGGCAACATCTTCGCCCTTCAGACGGGGCATATATTTTACTAATTCATTATTATCGCCTTCATGGGTTGTCAAAATATCATTCTCCACTAAGCCCGGACTTATATTCTATGGCGCACATAAAAAAGGAATCAAATCGACAAATGGAATTTTATGATCGTCTATTTTTAACTTTGTATTATTATTATTTTTCTTAGTTGATAATGGAAATTTTGTACTGACTATATTTAAAATAAAAATCGAATAAAATGAATAAACAATTTTACGCTTACCGTTACTTTTATGCCCATTTCGATGTATGAAACTTCTTGGCGTAAACACTCGGTGAGTGCCGTTAATGCGAATTTACATGCTGGATACATGCCATTTATTGGCTTTGACCCAGGTACACATGTGTTAACTTTGTGCCCAAATATGCTGGAATCAGAAGTCAAAATTACACGTTTTGTTTTGCAGACAAATTTTTCGCATTTTGTTTTTGTTTTGAGAAAAGTAAACAAACATAAGAGAGACTACCTATTAATATTAACGACATGACCATCAAAACCGCGTTGTCTCATTAGTTTGATTGCATCGCGAGTACAAATGCATAAGCCGATAAGGTTTGCCTCCAGCATTGATCGTAAATCACGTATATTATTGTCATCCAAGAGCATGCACTGACTTTAGCAATAAAATAAACGATACAAAAAGGTGAGATAAATTCGATTTTTCTTGTTGTTATTGGATTTTTCATTTCAACACGGACATTTTTATGCTGCTAAATTTATGAGCACATTCTTCATTTTGGTTTTAATTTTCTTTTGTTCAGAATTAATTTTATGATTATTACCTAACAACACCAGCATTATTGATGAGCAAATCGATACCACCCAATGTTTTTTCGATCCATTGATATGCCCGCTTCACTGAATCTTCATTGGTTATATCACAATCAACGGCATTCAACTGACCTTCGGCACCAAACAGACTCAAACGCAACGGTTCGAGTTTATCTTTGCGACGCGTCAAACCGCACACAATCATACCATGTTTGACTAATTCGGCACAAATTGCTGAACCAATTCCACTAGACGCACCAGTGACAACAGCAACACGACCAGCCCATCTTTCCATATTTATATTTTTAATTTCTTTTGCTTGTTTCTGTACGGTTTGTGTGTGGGACTGTGTGTGGTTCTTTTATTTCTGTGGATTTACTTTGTTTATAATAATAATAATAACTCAATTTTATGTCTGCGTATTTTTTTCTCGCACTTTATTCCATACGAATGTATCACATTGAAGGCGAACACAACAAATAAATTTTAGTCACCGGTAAATCAACTTATATGCGTAAAAATGAAACACGCAATAAAGTAAATATAATTTATTAGTTTTGCAGCTAAAATGTAATACTTGAACACAATGACTTGATTTTTACTGTACTGAGTACGGCTTCCAATATCCAAAACAAATAGTCGAAGAAAGATGCGGACCGCGTACCCGATTCAAACATAAGAAGTGCATATTGAAATACACAATCCTATTTATACGTTCGTACCGTGCTCAACCACAAATATTCAACAACAAAAAATATTGTCGCAATTGACGGTTGCGCACTTAAAAGTCACCAATGTCGGCAGAGTTTAAAGCAATTGCCAGTTTATTTGCAAACTGAATGGGCTCCGAATCAAAATGGGCGGCATACTTTTTTATTTGTGACAATTTGTCTCTCCGATAAATCGTAAAACATTTTTGACTCGCTCTCAGTTTGTTGACGTTGATCAATGTGGCTGATGTCGCTTTGATTAAATGAACAAAAAAGATGTGACGAAAAATTAATCAAACAAACCAAAAAACCAAATTATAAATATGTATCATTTGGCGATCGGCATTATTAGCAACAAAGTATCATCTGAGTTACAATGACGGTGTGGCAAAACACCTGCTTTTCATTTGATGCCAAATCCAATATTTAATCAATGTTTCATATGCTGAAAATTCTTTTCTACACTTCTTTGCGCGTAATTTTTATTTTAACATTTACATATTTTCCACTTTTATTCGAACCCGACACCAGACTTGTCTTTGCAAATGTCCTATGGAATTCATCTTATTTGTATACCTTATTACAGCCCTTTTTTAAAGTTGATTGTATTTTATATAAATTAAATGCAGTCTCAGAATCAGAAATTAAGAAACAAATAGCTGCACGATCTCTTTGTCAAAAAATATTCTACACGTTTATGAAAAAGATAATATTACAAAAAACCGTAATATTACGAAAAATAAAGAATTTTAGTTAACACGTTTTGAGACGTTACTTATTTGGATGTATAGTCGAATGTCCGCACATGTGAAAGTCGAAACTTGGGACTAGGTTTAAATAATTGTACCAAAAATGTATACAAAAATAAAGAATATTTTTTTTAAGTAACAATAATTGTCTCAAATAAATCAAAATATTTCAATGTTGGAATGAAGAGATAAAAAAAATGATGGGACCCATAAATCAAACAGTAAACAGTAAGAATATTTTCCGTAAAAAATAATTGCAATTTTTTTTTAAGTAAATGTAATGCAAAAAGTAATTTCTAGCCAAAAAATTAAATTTTTCAGACATTTTTATGTTAAAATTACTTTTTACAATTATCTCTTGCTTACAATTACTTTATAATTATTTTTCTACGAAAAATTACTTTCGAGTTATTTCCCCCTTGCTCAAAATGCTTTACAACCTATATTCACCATTTCCATAATTTCCATTTATTATGCGCCTTCCAAAAATATTTCATATACACATATACTAGGCATACTATTATAGTGAATTCCATCATTTCAAGGCCAGCTATTCAATATCGACTACAACACTGGATTACAAATGAAACTAAAGAGTAATACATCACCAGATAACACAGTTTATGAATATACAATTTGCTCGGTCACGCATATGGTTGTATAAGTTTCGAATGTATACCATGCACAATGTGTATTACACATCAACATATGTAGAAGAAACTACACATACAACAATGTCTTACACATGCCGGTTTCTTTCGTTCGCTTGTATTTGTTTTCTTCTCCGCGCCAAACAAAGTCAGTGTGTTGTATCGCCCATTTAGATTGGATTTGAGTGTTTATAAAAGTGAACGTTCTTTTTTGCGTTGTCCAAGCATGTCATTTAGTAAGAAAAACTGTATAGATTTTAGTTAAAATGCTTTGTAAATAGTTTGTTTTCAATAAAAATGGATCAACAGAATAAATTTACAACAAAGAAAGTTGAACGACGATTTTCAATGGCAATATCGTCTCCGCGGCATTTCAATCAAGAAGTCGAAGATCAAAAATTTAATCATAACGAAATTATATCGCTCGATAGTGATGATGAAAATGGTGGAATTCAAGAAGAAATCAGGAACACAGTGCAGCCGAATGTAAACACGGATACGATTGTAAGAACGGAATTTGCACAACCACTGAGAATACAACAACCAGTTGGACAATCAATGCCACCGAATCAGCCAGTTTTGCAATTATTGCCATTACATCAGCAAATAGCACAAACACTGCCTCGAAATGTTGAGAATCAAGAACAAACCAAAGCATATGAACAGTTTATCGAGGTGATAACTCAACTTACGGATGCGGTTAAATCATTGAAAAAGAAATTCGAAAAATCGATCAAAACAAATAAGCGAAAAAAATCGACGAAAAGAAGCCGAAAAAACAAACATTATTCAAGTGATAGTAGTTCAAGCAGAAGCAGTTCAAGTTATGAACGACGTAGAAAGAAGCATCGACATCGTCATCACAAGTCACATCGCAAACGATATTCGAGTTCAAGCTTTTCCGAAACTGGTACGGACCGAGAAAGAAGTGATCATCGGCATCGTTACCGTGGTAGACATGAAGAAGCTAAAAATTCGGGCGAAACAATTCAGAGCCATGTCGGTGTTTCAAGTACAATAAACATTACACCACCAATAAGCGAAAGTAATTTTTTATCACAAAATAACAACCCAAGTACATCGTATCAAAGTGGCTTGCATTTAAAGAGAAAAAATCCTACTAGGATTTCACGAAACGAAAGGCCAATTATCGATAGCGAAGAGGAGACTGGTTCTTCGACAGAATCCGAGGAAAAGCAGCGTCCAAAACCAATCAATTCGAGCATGCGAAGGAAATCAATTATGACTAGACCGACGGTTACGACAGAAGGTATTTTTTATTTAAATTTTTCAAACATTATAAATATGATTAATATCTTTCTATCCATTTAGATATACTTCGTCCACCGAACACGAATAAAAGTCTATATTTTAAAAGCAAAAAAGCATTAACGTGTCAAATTTGTAAAAAATATTTGCCCAAAAGGGTCGTGACACATTATAAAAAGTCACACGAAGACAGTGAAGTTTACGTATCCAGATTTTCACCGGCAATGGCTGAAAAGGCAAAGAATGAAAAACATGGCGCAAAACGAATAAAGGTTACAGATAAACCACAAAAAGATTTTATAAAAGCATTTTGTTTTTTTTGTGAAACAAAAAAACAATTTCCTCCGCACTATTGGATGGATCATATTCGATCACACACTGGAGAGTAAGCCAAATTCAAACCTATGCATTTCAACGATCAATTAATCTTTGTTGTTTTCTCTAATTAGATATGCGTATGAATGCGATTCATGCGAATTAAAATCAGTTTTTAATAGTCATAATGGACATTCTGGCTGCAATGGAAATTTTAAAAAGATGAATAATGACGATTTACTTCGCAAAGGCTGTGAGGCATACATTTGTAGACTTTGCAACTACGTACAAATTGATGGAGATCGTCTAATTCAACATCTTCGAACGGAGCACGAAAATGGCAATGATGATCAATGCGAGGAAATAATCTTATTGCCTGCATTCAAAGAATAATAAAAAAACCACAATGCAAAAATAAAATCATTTCTCATGAAATTATGACAATACAAATATTCTGTCTCGCTGACGCAACCATATCCTTTTTAAATATATTTGAATAAGAATCTAAATATATTGCATTTTTATTTGAAAATATTTAACACATCCATTTGGCTAATAGCATTTTTGCTGTTGTGAAAGTAAGTAATACAAAACCCAAGATGAAATTTATTACAAAATGTGGACATTAAAATGAATTTTAGCTCTTGTATTTAAAAAAAATTCTCTCTATGTAAACGTTAACGTACAGCCGCGTACAGCTTTTCTCGTGTTCTTCATTGTGTCCCTTCTTCTTCAGGCACCAGTTGCCAGTTTATTTACATCGTCTTTTATGGACTGCAACAAGCCTGTGTATTTTGAATGTATACACTTCAACATAAATGTACCATATGAACCGCTTAGAATAAAAGTAGTGAATGAGAAAAAGTGAAAATAAAAGTCGAACATAAAGTTTTTTTGTATGGATTTTGTCTATATAAAAAAAACTTTATGTTCGACTTTTATTTTCACTTTTTCTCATTCACTACTTTTATTATAAGCGATTCATATATTGAAATATTGTGTGTATGGAACGGAAAAAGTATTATTGTATCATATTAAAATAAAACTTAGACTTACGTCAGCGTTCACTGCGTTCATAGATTCTGACGTCTTGAATTTTACTAGAAAGTTATTTTAGGGGGGAGTAATTCCAAAATTGTTCCAAAAATCTTATCTCTGAAAAACCACAAAACAAATATTTTGAAAGAAAAAATCGCAAAAAAAAGAGAATTAACTACAAATTTTAGTTTATTTTTGTCAAATAGATTAATGTTATTTATTGTCGAAATCATATCGACTATCTTGAAACTGAAGCTATTTATGCATTGAAAATAAACATTTAAGCTAAAGTGCTGATCAAGCGTGTGGTATGTTTATTTCGATTTGATTTTTTCGGCCAGACACAACAGAACAACAGCACTTTAGAATAAATGTTTATATTCAAATTAAATAATTCAATGCATAAAAGTTGATATAAATGTGACATTCGATGCGATTTGAAAATTGCTGATCTGACAATTAATGAAAGAAAAATATGATTAAAAATCAAGGGGATAATTAGTGATTTTTTAAAAATCTAAGGGGGTAATTTTTGATCCGTTTTCCAGGAGGAGGTAATATGGGCCCCATGATCCTCCTCAGAATCTATGACTGCGTCGAAAATTATTAATTAAAAATTAAATTGGTCTCATGCAATACACAACTACATAAAATGTTTATCACACACTCATATGTTCTTTAGTTGTTATACACAAACCCAAATACATGCTGGTTCTATGTGCTTCATTTAATATACATATAACTATATTTTGATCCGTCAAAATTGGTCTTCATTCAATAATAAATCGTGGAAAGAGACGCATTACTTTTGGAATTTTCAATATCGAAAAATATGTTCAGTGTTTCAAATTAAAAAAAATGTAATTAAAAAATGTTAACATTGCTTGAATTTCAACAAATTTCTTTTATTTCTTTGAAGGTAAGCTATTTGTCAAAGACCAATTTCATAAAACAATTACAGTTCTTTTGCTTAAATTTGTGGTGAAAATAAAAGACGCTTTGACTAGGTATACATTTTATATATATGAAGTGAGTAAAAAACAAAAAAATGAAAGAACAAAACTGAAGTCAGTGATATATAGTCGCATTCAACTGAAGTCAACCCAAGTAAACATATACTTTCATGTAATATTCATAGTTAAAATTAACAACAAATATCTTCTGTGTATATAAATATATAAATATATAGATGAACAACAAAAATCGACGCTAAAAAAGGACAATATATAATACAAGTTAAAATAAATAATGATTGTTTGTCGGGTACGACACATGTACCACATGATAGTATATCTATCTGTCACTATCGTTCCGTAGGTGTTCACCAATACAAACGTGTGCGTATGAACGTATTGGTAACTTCTATACTTTTAACGTTCTACGTTCCATTCGTTAGTTCATTCATTGCAGTCGTGATACTCATTTCAGTGCGTCAAAGTCAGTGTTTCAAGCCAAAAGTTGTTTTTTTTTGCTAAATAACCTTACGTTGAATTTAATATTTATGTGTCTAATAAAAAAATAGAAACATGGATGGAAACAATGATATTGAAGGATTCGAAAGACGACCAAGAAGATATGGTTCACCGATAGAAATTGCTGACTTTTATTCGGAAAGCGATGATGATGATGTGAAGGATATCAAAATTGAACCAAATTTTGATTTAACTGATCAAATTCCGTTGATTTCTTATCAACTGAATAGTGGAATTCCAAATATGAAAGAGAAAAACGATTCGCAGTCACAGCACTATGATATATCAAATATTAAGATTGACGTCGATGCAGACCAACCTGGTATTTCTATACCGTTGCCTTATGATGGAAGTGTAAGCAATACGAGATTAATTTATCGTAGCTGTGATCCAATGCATTCAATATTTACAAATGAACAATATAAACAAATAATCAAAAACGTTACCAACGTAACTCATTTGATAAACTCATTGGAAGAAACGGTCGATAAACATATTCGAGGCATTGATAGTGATTCAAGTAAAACAAATTCATCAAGTGACGACGAAAGTAGTTCAAGTGATTCAGATAGTTCAAGCAGCTCATCAACATCTAGTGTGGCCAGTTCAAAAGATGATAAAAAAAGAAAACACATCCGAAGTTCGAATAGAAATCGACGCATCGATTCCTGTTCAAGAAGTAGTTTGCAAAATGAAAGAAATGTGGTCAATATTCCAAAACCAACCAGTTTTAATCATCATTTTCAAGTTGACACAAATAGTCGTAGCGACATCCCAGAACATGAATCGTATTCAATACCGAAAAATACAGAGAATTTAAATTCAGATTCATCTTCAGGAGAATGTTTTCAACCACCAGCGGAAAAGCGAATTCGTGTCGATGAAACAAATCAAACAAATTCCACATCGGCAAATGTGCGAAACCAAGGTAAATATTTAAATTTGCATAAACCAAATATCTATTGAAAATATCGAGAGGAGAGTATGTTTTTATTCAGACATTACTCAGCCATAAGCGCTGAATAACATACTCTCTTGTCGATATATTTAATAGATATGTGATCCACTGATAACGTCGTTTTCTTTTTATGCATTTTTTCTGTTTAGGAGAATCCCAATTGAAAAACATCGACAAGACTCTATTTTTCAATAGCATAAAAGCAAAAACTTGTCAAATTTGTCACCGATGTTACACATTAATGACTGCTCATTATAAAAAGGTTCATCCAAATCATGAGGTGCTTGTATCTAGAATTTCACCTGAAATGGCCAAAGATGTTGAAAATTTAAACCGATCGTTCTTAACACCTGAAAAGAATATTTTTGCTGCATTTTGCATATTCTGTGAAACTCAGCATAGTTACCGTTTGCAGTACTGGATCGATCATATTCGATCTCATACGGGCGAGTATGGATATAAATGCTCAATTTGTGAAAAAGATCATTCATTCGATAGAAACATATGTTGTGGACAACTACCGAATATTAAATACCCGTTTGACTTACGTTTTGAAGATTTAACTGCTTTTATGTGTCGAAAATGTAATTTTGTTCAAATAAATGAGCAAAATATTCAAAAACATTTGAGAAACGAACATGAAATTGAGCACATCAATGGCCATTATAAGCAGATCATTTTGCTATCAGCACTCAGCAAAACATTGAACGGTGGACATCATTCACCGTATACACATTATTCGGTTTTTCAAATGTTTTCACCTCGTAATGTATAATTTTAATGTACACACACCGATTTTTTTATGAATAAAGCAACAAACATTTAAAAATGTACGGAAAATTGTGTATAATTTTGGTGGCGAGTAAAGTAAACCTTTTGCAGTACAATTGACTAATGTGTTTTTTACTTATTTTTTTTCTAGGATAAATGATGACTGAGGCTGAAATCACAAATATTGGACCGTCAACGTCAAGCAGCTACCATATAAAAGATGAGCCAGATTTAATTGTACTTTCCAGTGATGATGAAAATGACAAAAAACCAATTCAACATAGTGGTTACGGCAGGAGCCATTTAAATGGAAAATCAGGCGACATACATACTGATAGTACGCTAAATAAAGTTACCTGCAACCAACATAGTGGAAATAAACAATATCATGAGATGATTCAAAGTATAAAAAATCTAACAAATGAAGTGGAAGCACTTCAACAGATATATGAGGAATACGATTCCGACAGCAGTTCAAATAGCGAAAAACACGTTAAAAATGCAAAATATTCGAGTAGTGACGACACCAATAGCTCTGATAAGCGACAAAAGAAACATCGCCGACGACTCAAGAAATCACATCGAAAACGATCTTCTGATAAACGGTTCAAGACGTATGAAAAAAATGGTCGATACCGATCGGGTTCGGAAGCATATGCCAGCATGTCGGAAGGTGATACCAAAATAAAAATAAAAAAGGTTTCATTCGAAACGAATGACCATCTTAATAATTTGAATTTGAATTTCGACAGATTTTTAATGGTTTTTTTTAATATCCTTTAGGTTATTTGAATAACGCGAATCAAATCTACCAAAAATTATCGAAATCAATGGGTGCTCATCATAAAAATATCCATAAAAACCACAAGGTGTTTGTATCGAGGCTGTCCGAAGAAATGGTGAATAAAGTCAAGAATGGATCTTGTGTTGCTGTAAAATTTCACGAGTCAAATATGGAGTGTTTGGCTGCATATTGCTTTTTTTGTGAATCTTTTAAACAATTTCCATGCCATATTTGGATCCAACACATTCAGATGCATACCGGTGAATTTTCCTTTCAGTGTAAAGTTTGCCGAAAGTTTTGCCGTCCTCATTGTACTCATTTTCTTTATGCAAAGATGAAATATAAAATAAATTTTCGCAACAAAGATCTCAACGCATTTATTTGTAAAAAGTGCAATTTCACTCAAATAAATGAAGAAAACATTCGCAAACATCTTAAAAATGAACATAGATGTGGAGATATTGACCATCTATATGATCAAGTTACATTGTTGACCGCATTCAGCAGTATTAAAACACCAATCTTACAATTACACGATATTCGCTTCGATTTGGCGAAAAAACTATTTTGATAACCATTATAATAAAATCCAAAAAAAATGAAAAAACAAACGACCTTTTTTATTTAAAAAATTCATGAAGGTAATTTTAAAATAAGAGCATGTCTTTAAAAAAAACTATTTTCGTTTAAAATGAGCTGTTGTTAGCTGGTGGAATCAATACCAATCGTTTGACTATATATTCAGCATTGAACGCTTTTCAATAATTCAGTGGAGACGTCCCATATTTTCTTTACTAAGCACGAGTAACTTTTCAATCATTTACTCCATTTTCAATGCAACATGTTTGGACAAACTTGTTCTGCGTCACATACAATTCATTATTTATTTATACACAAAGTTTAATCGACGTATTTTAACATATACAATTAGATATTTTGTGCAATGGAAAAATAAGCAATAAAATTAGAATTCTTTCTTTATCATTTAAAGCGCTTCTAATCACTTCTAATTCTTTCACTACAAATGTTTGATAAATGTTTGAGAAAGGCAAACCAATTGGTTCCAAAAAAGTCAAGTGTATAATTATATGCACCCGAGCCGTTCCCAATATTCCTTGGCACTTGTTTTAGCTTTGGTGAATATATAGGTTTTAAAATTCCATCACTAAGTGGGGTAATTCCACTATATACATGCATTTTTCTCGTAAATTGGACACCAAATTTTACTCGGAATGTCAATTTTCGTTAAATGTTACAAATTTTGTTATTAATCACACCCATCTTCATGAGTTTTTAAATGAAACACTATTAAGTAGTTTTGACATTTATTGATACGAGGTCAAATGTATTTGCTAAATTGATTCAAGTTTTCTTCAAATGCATCAAAATTTACGATTATTTTCTTACTGTAGACTATTATTAGTATTTTCACCAATATGTCTTTAAATATTTCGACAGGATCCCATATATAAAAGGCAATTTATCCGTCAGCTCAATTCAGTTATTATTGAATTATTACAGTGAACGTTCAATATAATAAACTAATTTGTTGTAATTCGTTTTAGTCGCATATCGATTCAATCATGAAACCGTTGTTGAAAAATCAGCAAGTTTTCAAATTGCTTTGTGTATTTCCTATGGATGAATCCATTGATAAATGGAAAAAATATAGTTACCATACTTTTGCGATATGCATTTTCATTGCAAATTCTTGTGGTGCCGTTGCGGGAATGGCGTATTTCAATAAATTCGTGAATATTGATTTGGGAAGTTCGTTATATACTCTTTTTAATATTTTTGGTGCAGCATCGACGGCGTATGTAACTCTCGTGATCTTGTTGCGTCGTCAGAAAATGGCTGCGATTTTTGAAAGATTGTCTATTATTTACAATACAAGTAATAAGTATTGGAGAAAAATTTAGTTTTCAAATTCAAACGAAATTCTCTTCTACTTTAGATAAAAATGTGGAAATCTTTGAAATTTCAATGCGAAAAGTAAACAAGCAAAGCGAATGGATGTTGGAAACTTACTTCAAATACGGCATGTTTGGATATGGTTTAAGTGTGATTGTTATGTCAACCATTTCGATATTGCTTTGTTTCTTAATGCATGGATATTTTGATGGCAACTACGTTTATCGAGTTTTAAATTTGATGTGACCATTTCTTCAATTTTTTAATTATCCAAATTTAGTCGAAAATTTCATTTCAGTTTACCATGGAATCAAAAAACACCATTGGGATATATATGCGAGTTGGGATTTTCTCTAATTCTTACCGAGTCCTATTTCATTGCAAACGGATCTATTATATTGCTGTTTATTTCTTTGTGTTTGCATCATCGAGAATTTTGGAAAACATTTCATCATTTACTCAGCAAATTGATTAGTTCCAATAGGATTGCAAGCAATAAGAAGTGCATTAGAAAATTAATCGAGTTTCATGTATTGGTCAGAGAGTGAGTAAGACTTTTTTTAACCGATTTTTGTTCCCATATTTTTGTCATTCTTTGTCTATTTCTTCTACCAGATTATTTCTTCAATCAGCAGAAGCAATTAGTCCATTTATTATCGTTCAGTTAATTTGCAATATGATTATTTTAGCCTGTATGGCATTTCAGCTGGATTTGGTAATCATCATCTTAAGGCAATTGTCTTTCAAAACAAAATCATTATTTTATTTTCAGCAATTGAAAAATCCAGATTTTGAATTTATATCGGCGATATTTATAATGGGAATTGATTTGTCGAACTTATTCGTGTTCTGTTTTTTTGGAAAAATTGCAACAGAGAGTTTCGAAAAGATGACTAACTCTTTGTATGACACGAATTGGCCAGACTACCCATTGGTTATGCAAAAGTATTTGGTTTTTATGATGGCAAGTACTCAAAAACGAATTCATTATCATGGAATGTTTGGAGTGGCCATTTTGAATTTGGAGACATTTTCTCGGGTGAGTGAAATTATCTTAAATAAACAATCCGTTAATTTATTATTTGTTTTGATTAGATGATCAAATCAATAGCCAGTTACTATATGATGTTGAAAACGTTTATAACCAACTGAGATATTTAAATTTGCACATTAGCTGCAAGTGAATATTAGATCAATTAAAACTGAATAGAAACGCTGAAATGTGAAGAAAAATGTTTAAAATTGATGAAATTCACATGAAACCTGAATATTATAAATTTACATTTAGTTGACTTTTAAGCCATTTTAATTAAAGATCCTAATGTTAAACATTTAATAAGTTATTAATAATAACTCAGAGAAATTGAACAGAGCAAACTGAACCCTGTTTCCGAAAACGGTTAAGTGTAAAATTGTGAAAACAATAATTTTTCTCCTCAAGGTTTTCAAATGTAGACTTCTATTTTGGAATTTCAGATGTCACATTTACAGTTGTCACGATTTTACACTGGAACTGGCTTAGACCAGGGTAAAAATAACATTTCACCACTCAATGTGCTACGTTCAATATCTCTAAGTAGATTAACTAAAATTTGGTATAGAATAGAAGCCTACTTTATTGCTGAACAAATATAATATTATTTGCACTAATAAAAAAAATAAAATTGAATGCACTATTCTTTTAATTATTTAAATACAATTGAAAATTGAATATCCCATCAGATATGTTGAGAAAATCGACATCAATACGTCTTTAATAAATACTCTTTATTTTGATATAAGAGTCTTGAACAACGTATAATATGTTAACACATTTCGAAGCATCTTAAAAAAGAAAAAAAATGCAGTTATATGCAGTTACAGGCATTCGTGTTTTATCTATCATGGATATACCTTCAAAAATGTTTCCAATTTCAAAATTGCGATTCCGAATCCTGAATAATATAGAGGTCTTTGTGTATTTATGACCATAAACAAAAGATATTTCTGCAAACGTGTTGGTAAATTTGGCCAATTCATGTCATATAAGCAGTCAGACATTTGTTCGAAACTCTCTGTTGCCACTTTTCCGAAAAAACAATACAAGAAGAGAATTGACGTAGAAACCATGAATGCTTGCAATAATATACTGAGATTGAAGTCAACATGTTTCATCTCCTGAAATTAGGATAAACAAACTTAAGCACATTAGTTGTGGATATTATATTGACAGATAATGTACCAAATCCAATTGAAAAATGATGCACGACATGAATATCATACTACAAATCAATATGACCAAAATATACAGGCTTAAAACTTTGGCCGATTCACAAAACCAACTGAAAATTCACAAAAATTTCGTAAGTTAGACATATTGTTTCATTTATTATCCAAACCCACTTTTTAGTTGAATTATGAAAATGGATCAAATCACAGAAAAATGTCTCATCATTTCGATCGGCCTCAATTCGATCAAATTTCTGCACCAAATGTTGAAACTGTCTATAAAATGCCTGATGATGCAAACAAATAGAAATGAACAATAAAAGTAGCGATCCATTGCATACGAAGTAAGCCTCAACGATGGCAATAACGAAACACACATCAGCGAAATATCCCAATGGTGTTTTTTGATTCCATGGTAAACTGAAAATGATTTCTTTTTACTAAACATCATAAAATGGAAAAAATTTCATTTCACTTTCATTTGATTACTCACATTATTCTGTACGGGTAATACAAATACTTTGCATTAAAATTTCCATGTCGAATTATACATAATGTGGCTGAAGCTAAGCACATGATCGCTGTGCTAACGAAAAATCCAATTATAACCAATTTAAAGAAGAGCTTCCAGATCCATTCACTTTTATTATTTGCTTGCACCAAATACTCAAATACGTCACTATTTACGTCTAAAAAAGTATATATTCTCATTTTTGATTTGGTAATTTTATTATGACACTTACATGCTTTGTAAATTTCAGCCAAATTTTCAAAGATGGCGGCTATTTTGTTTCGTAAAAATAACGTAACGATTATCATATAAGTTGTGCCCGAAAAAGCAGAAATTTGAAAAAGTGCATATAGGGATGATTCCAAGTCAACTGACACAAACTTATAAAAGTATGCAATACTCGCAGCTAATGAGCACAAAATTGCAGATACAACGTATAAACTGAATAAAACTCGTAGAAATTTCACGCATTTTGGAACTTTTTCATCAATTGAGCACACACAAAGCCAACTGAAAACTCTCTGATTTGTTTCCAATGGTTTCATTCTATTTAACATTTCTTATTCACGTGAAATAATTTATCGTTTACGGTAAACAATATGGAATGCAAGCTTATACACATTTTTACTCCTTTTTATACCATTAAATGAAATAAATAATTCAATAAATTCACAACGTTTTCACATTTTCTTCATTTGACTAGACATCATTATTTTTAACTCGTGCTTAAGCCTGAAATTAACGTGACATTACATCAAGTATGAGATTCAACATACGGTTTTTTTAAAAAGCGTATTGAAAATATCATCGATTGAAAAAGTTAACAGTAGATGAAAATGTGGTATATTGGATGGCATTTATTTCACGAAAATTACAGTATTTCTTTCTCTTGGTTTTTATTTCGATATTTATAAATAAAATATCACTGTGCAACAGTAAAAAGGTGACAGCATTTTGTATGAATGGATGAAAGTACTAACCGAGTATAGTAAAACCCTCGCAGGGCTTTGCAAGGTTGCCAATAAGTTTTTATCGACATATGCATCAATCTATCTGAATATTTGTTCCTAGGGGTGTTTTGGCATGAGACTGGGCATGAGAAGACAGGATATTTATATTGCGATACAATCAAGTTTTGATGCACTTAAAATGGCCGTTCTTTGTTTGGTGACCCTGATTTTATCATAGGATCAAAAAATTATGTACTATAAAGTTGTTCAGAATGATGAGAGACATTTTTTGGGTCAGCTGCCCTCCTACTCCTTCTATACTTCCAGGGGGTCGGGGTCTTAACCCTTCAACCCTTGATTTTTTTTACCTGAAACACAAACATTTTGCTTCATCATGCTAAAAAAACCATAGTCTCATAGTATTTGACTCAAAATAGAGGGCTCTCATTTTTTTTTAAATAAAAATGCAATATCGTTTAGTTTTTTCGTCTCTTAAAAAATTCTTGTTTTTATTATCATTATTTTTTTCTTGTTTTCCTTTAATTTATTAATAAATAAATAACAGCATTAATTTTTATTATAGTTCAATAGCTATTCTAAATAGTTTACGTGTTTCTGCTTCCTTATTATTTACTGTATTCTCATTGTCATAATCTTACTCCATAGATTTTTCAGGCTTGATTCAATTGATCATGCAATAAAAAAAGATCGTTTCCATTCGGCGAGTAAAACCAAATGCATTCACCAGATTGTTATTATGCAAAGGTATCTCTTCAAATAAAAACAATTCAAAAATCAGTTATTTTTTTATCAATTTATATAGTCTATGATTATTTATGCATACACTCATGTGGTATTCGGTGCATTTTTCTTGTTGTTATTTTTGAAGTTTTTCGTTTAGTTTGAGACCATTTGCCTCTTTAAATTATATTCTCAGAACATATTGTAGTTTTATCTATATTTCTACATGAATTTTACAACTTATAAATTTACTATCGATTTGCTCAGTGGCTGTTTTGAGTTTGTAGCTAAAACACAAAATAAAAGAGGGATGTTTTGTTCGATGTAAAAAATGTCTTGAATTCGATTAATTTGAAGAATATGAAGTCAAAGATACAAACACAATTTGAAGTAATCGCAGAGAAAATATGTTTTCCACTTTTTATGTAAGATGTTGGCAGACACTCTGAATTTTGATTTCCTGTTTTTTTATGTCAATTGGAAGAACACTTGAAACCTGAGGCCAACTTCATTCTTTAGTCCCAACAATAAGTAGTTTGTTCTTGTTGTAAGAAAAAATAAATGAGAAAAAAAGGTAATTCAAGTTGGAATTTTCTGTCATCTCTCTCTCTCTCTCAACTTCTTTGTATAAGGCAATCGTGTCAAATACATGTAAAAGTTCGAAATATAAATGTATTTATTTAATCAAGTTGAATAGTTTAAAAATCTGGACAAAATCCATTTATCTTCAGTGTAAATAGGAAAACAAAAACAAACTTATTTTCAGAGATCTTCGTTACCTATGGAATCTTAAAATTGATTTATGTTTTATTGCTCTCTCTCTTTTACTCTTCCTCATTTAGAATTGACCCTGGCTATTTTAATAATTATTATTCATTGTGTGCATATTTGTGTACAAGTATTTATCACCTGTATTAGTTTGATTACATTCTGCAATGGCAATCTTATCATTTCTATTTTGCATTAATTATACGTGGCTCGGTCGGTTTTCTTCAGTACGTTTGTTATGTTTAATTTATTTTATTTCCTTTTGTTTATGTAATTGAGTTGAGAAAAATATGTTGATTTTAATTTATGTGATAAATTACTTGTTATCTTTGGCTAAATATGCATACATGTTTCAATCGAGAGTGTGTGTGTTTTCTTTATCATAGGACATGTTCCGGCGTCTTTGATGATTATTGGCCTACTGAATTTCGTATCAATACTTCCGCTCTCATAATTGATATATTTCATGCAGATATTTATTAAAAAAAGAGCATTTTCTTACTTTTAATGAAGAGACGTCGAGATTTCGCTGTTTTCAAATGAACTGAACAACCAAATCATTTCAATTTTCTCTTTGTTAAAATGAAAACTGAAAACAAAAACAAAAACCCAAAATGTGGATGAAATAAAAAAAGACGGAAAGATAAATTATTGAGCTTTGTATTAACAATCCAATTTGATACATCATTTTATTGACATATTTAGAGCCAGCTCTCTGTTATGGTATTATTATTTGCTTTTAAATGTGTACGAGAAAAAACAATCGAATTTACTTCGAGAAATAACGAAAAAGATAATGGTAAGTTTATAATGTATAATGTGATGTTTGTAGTGAAATAATTCATTATAATTAGAATTAATCAGGTGATGTCATTGTAAATGTAATTTAAATCATTCAAATTTAATTCAAATATCGAAAAAAAAACGAAAAAAAAATATGAAAAAAATACCGAAATGTGTACGGTCTAAAATATTTTCAAAAAAAAAAAATGTGTTTCAAATTGAAACATGGCCAATTCGAGGCCGAATTCTGAAAATTGTTCATCCTAAGCAATTTCAAAAGAAATTAAAATGCAATTCAACCGTCATTGCACTTGTTTTGATAATTCTAATATGAATATGAAATAATTCCAATGAATCATTTTCAATGAGACTGTCACCTTCATATGTGGTAATTTTAAACTTGAAAAGAGAGAAAAAAATGAACGAAAAAATTGTTTAAATTCAATTAAATTTCATACAATATTATGCATACTTCGATTGATGTTTCTCGTGCAATCATCGCTGGTTGACAATATCTATTGTTTGACATTTATGCGTCTCCTCAATATGTACATTTTCCATTTTATTTTGTATATTGACAAAAAGAAACAGCACGAACAAATCACTGAACAAATTTTTGTGTCAGATTCAAAATATATAATTATTTGGCGTTTCGCGCGCAATGTTCAACTTTTTACACATGTTCTTGTCTTTATCTATATCCATCTATATCGCATAGATGTTGCGCGCTGAATTCATTTTCATGCTATTTTTTTTTCTTTTTTTATTCTAATTTCTACGTGATGCTTTCTTCTATTTATATATATATATATATTTATATATGTCGTATTATATATATATATATATATATCATTTTTCCATAGTATTTATAATAATAATAATCAATATTATTTACAGAAAAGGCAATAGCATTTGTTGGCTTTAGGTTTTAGTTAAATTAGTTTTTGGGATTATAAACATAAAGTTAGTCTTTTACTTGCGTATGAAGTAATCAACAAAAAAAAAATATAATGGTTCGATTGGTATCGTTCGCTTATTCGATACCAAATAGACAAATCCTTTTTGTCGAAAACGAAAATTTTACGCTCATGCTAGCGCAAACTTAAATTAGTTCTTTTTCTTATTCGGTGTTTATGGAAATTTATATGATGATCCATTAAAATGTGATAATCAAAACACCGATGAAATGCCACACGAATTGGACAGGGTTATTCCATTCATCTATTTTTTCTCACGTCAAACCGGCAGGCAGGCACTTATCGATTGCTGTACGCTTGTGACATTGGTATGAACCTTTGATGATGCGGTCCGAATGGCCTTAGTTCTGGCAACGCTGTTCGTACAGTTTGTAAACCGTCAACGGTATCAAAACCATTCTCTTCATGTACACCGTTGAATCGATCACGTTTCTGTTGTTGATTCCATCGTACATAAAAGACTAGACATAGCACAAGCACCAAAAATAGCGCCAAAAATGCACCGCTTGCTATACTCGCCGTTTGTAGCATAGCCAGACGACGTGTAGCTGTACGAAAAATAAATAGATAAAGATTAGGAAATTGTTGCAAATAGTTTTGGTATTCTTTTGTCATTTCATCGAAACATTGTACTTACGCAAATAGGAGCCGTCTAAATCCTTGTATTCACAACGCGAACCCATGTAACCGTCTGTGCATCTGTAAAATTTATAAATTCATTTAGTTGGTGTCAAATACGAAGAAATAATTTTGAAAAAATTCACATTCTCTTTTTTAACTTACTCGCAATTGTATAGCAGCGAATCACCAATTTTTACTGTAAAGCATCTCGCTTCGTTGAGACAGTAGTATGCCGCATAGGCTGGTGGGCATTTATATGTTGGAAATGTGATGTTTGGACGAGGCGCTTGTGTCGGTGGCCTTGGTCTTGGTGTTGATCTACTCGAACAGGCTTCTGCAAAAAAAAAAAAACAAAACAAACAATTCACATTTAGTGATTTCGATTCAACGACAAAAATACATTTTCTCCCAAAAATTCTATCGGTTCATTCATTTCAACATTGTTAATTCCATTCACGGAATTTTCAAAATTTAACCAAAACCAGAAACCATATAAATAAGTATCGTTTGAAATTCAACAAGATTGTGACAGACTATATGTATTAGTTTCATTGAATGCACTTTGCGGAATGCATTCCCCCTTTTTTTTCGTTTTTATACAATTGTGATCGGCCAATTCATGCCTTTTGTGTAAACATTTGAAACAATACCAATCGATATACAAATAACAATCTAATTCATCACTTGGGTTTTTGCTCACTTGCTTCAATCGGATACATGAATTTGATGCCTCTGAATGGATTAGAAGCAATAATCAATGGCATGCATATGCTTCAACCCTCCAAAATTGTAACTAACCAAGGGTGCCATTCCCTCGATGCAGCGAACTAAAACGTCTCTGGTATTTGATCATTTTACCACAAAATGAAATCAAACAATAATAACAAAAAAATGAGAAGACAAGTACATGTTTTCAGCTTAGCACGAACCCGACTTAAATTTGAAATTCATGAGGTCAGGCATAGTTGTTGACTTTTTTTGCATATTGGCCTTCATTTTGTTGAATGCGAAAAAAGAACTATTATGCAACTTTACATAACCCGTTTGTTCCCTTCTTTTCAACTGGCACTCGCATTGGTGTTTTTTTTTGTTGTTGTTGTTTTTTGCTTAAAGCGACGAATGCATTGAATGTGCACCATTGTGACGTCACTGCAGATTCAATCTATTCGGAATGAAATGCATTTTTTGTATGAAAATTCTTGGCTATGTTGCTTCCATTGCGGTTAATCACCTTCAATAATAAACACTTTAATCTATATACTTTAATTGTTATTGCTTTTACAGTGCGATGTTCAATGTCATGCGATTCTCTCGTGCATTTTCCCCATCCTCATTTATGTTGTGTTGTGTCTGTCGCATATTCAACATCAATTTCTGTTGTATGTAAAACAACCACGATATTATAATTTGTTTTTATTAATGCTAATATGCGATTTTCATTTTGCGTGCATTTTTCGGTTCTAATTCTTCTTATTGTGTTGTTTTATTTGCATAAATTTTTGGTTGTGCCTAATTTTCCAATACATAGATATAAACTATCTTTTTGTGTGTTCTGACACGCCGAATGAACAAAATGCAAGCAAATTATAAAACAAAATTGCAATAAAATGCAAATTATATTTTAAAAAAAACCAAGCAAAAGAAGAAGAACTCGATGGAAAAAAATTAAATAATCACGTTCCATTTAGTGTTACGGAATTGAAGTTTTACAAAAAGAATCCACTTTCTTTGGTAATTGAACGTCCGTTACTTTTGTCGCATTAAATTGGCATATTAGTACAAAAAGCACATAATTGGCATTAGATGTGTTTCGTTCGTCTCTTTTCAACCACTTCTAAGAATGAACAAAGTGTTTATTGTAAAAAAAATGTTGAATGGCAGAGAAGATCCCAACATAATGGAATGAGTATTATTATTATTGGCATAGGCCCATAAGCGATATTATTATTAATATAATTATGATAATTTTTCGCAATTTTTAGTGGTATATGCGTTTATGATCCAAAACAACGGTAGCAACGCCAGCAATGGCCATGCCATGCACGCAGTTGTGTCGAAGATTCGTTCGTTCGTTCGAAAAAAAGAGGTCAATCACCACAAAGAATATCTAAATATAACTTGGCATAACCAAACTGCATAATCGTTGTGCCTCAAGATTGAAAAAATATGTATAACATTCTTCATCAAATCATCGAAAATAGCTTCGCGCGTTATAAATATTACATCTATTTAGAGACAGAAAAAAAAACAAGCACAACAAAATTTGAATAAATGAATACGAAATCAATGCGAATTCAGAGTGTGTAGTGTGTGTTGATGAGGCCGAAAATCGGCTTGATTTATAATTGCATCACTTTCAGCACGACGATACACATCTTCAATTAAATGGAAATCTGACAGCAGGAAAATCATTCGTAGCGTGTACATGTGGTATGGCCATTTTTGGGGGCATTTTTAAGTGCCACGGTCATATAAGAACGAATGGTGAAAAAATCAAAAATTTCAAGCATAATTGAACGCCAAAAATCCTAGCAAAAACCTCATTCCAAATGAACCGAAAATAAATCATTGTGTAAAATGTGTGTAATATAAAATAGCAATATATTCGGAATGAAAATTGAACCAAGGACACATTTTTGCAAATATGCCATAGCGCGCGCGAAAAAAATTACTCTTTTCCCTGACACACACAACCAGTGTAAATACAGTAATGTCAAGAGTAAATTTAATGCATGCAATAATAATAATTCGGTTGTACATAAAAACAGTATTTTGTCAAACACACTCACACACTCCCTTCAGAAGGAAATTGTTGGAAAATTGCAATGGTTTTTGGATGGTAAAAATCCCTCCAGTAAATTCTTGTGTAAATAGAAATACCAACGATGTGATTGTACCGCATTGTTCAACAGCAATCACATAAATAATTGAGTAAAGTGTGCTTGAGCATAATATTAAATTTTCGGATATTGTCGTTATGGTTTGATGTGCGTATGAAATTGTGAGGATGAGAGTTGATTGCTCGGTGCACGTGTTTGGCATTTGGAGGGAAACATCGAGACAGAACACCTACCATCAAAGCACTGCGTACGCGTAATGTAATGCATTACAACAACATAAATAAAACATCAATCCGCAACCACTTGAGAAAAAAAGCGGTAATACGATGCGGGTGGTTGATGATGAAGCACACAAGCAAACTCAAGTATCACCGATATAAACAATATCAAAACGCATCGTATCATTGAAATGTGGCCGTAAAAATAGCACAACACACAAAAGGCGCGATATGTGTAACAGCATGACTTCACACATATTCATCGGGCCTGGTTTCGTTTTTGGAACGTAAAACCAAAGAAAATTTGATGTGTTGACGAAACAATTAAAATAAAACAGCACGGCCACCACCAAAGACGATTGCAATCGACATAGTAAAACTGCCATCACTTTAAATAAAAAAAATTAAAAATTGAACGTTGCAATGAGTTTCATTTTTGTATTTTGTTTTGCTCTATAAAAGCCAAGAATGACATTCGTGTTATACTTCAATTGTATGATCTAAAGACTTTTCCGTGCCGTGAATTTCATTATGTAAAAAAAAGCCAATTTCATTTCACGCCTTCTTTCGCCTTTTTTCCAGAAGCAAAGTGGAACATTCGTGACGGAGTGCTTCGCCTGAAAGGCCATTCTAAAAATTCTTGATTTTCGGATAATTTTGTAGGGAAAATTGACCAACCTCATTAATTCGTTCATTTGACTCAAGTGAAATCAGATTATCGATGCTAGCCATTGTTAATATTACTTCGATTAAGCAATAGCTCTTGTTGAACACCATATCGATGTAATTTCATTTCGACGACGCACACACAATTTGAGTGGCTTAAAAATGTAATCGATACTGATTGTGATTACATGAATACAATCGGAAACAAGAATAATGTCACACATCAACGAAACGGCACATGCGATGCACATCAGCCGATTTATGTGTGCAACAGCACGTACCATAAACAGCCTTTTTCAAATAAGTGGAGGCAAAAATAAAATATGTTGCAATTTTTATCGACTCTTCTCTTGCTCGATTAACAACAATGCAACCAATTTGATTGAGTGTTCTACGATGAGCATGTTAATTTCGACGATGCAGTTTTATCGGCAGTACATAATTTGTAATCATTTGATCACAATGGTTGAGCGCATCGATGAAAAACGGCAGGCTATTTTATTTATGCGGATACATCGTCATTCGATTTTTGTTCAAGACAGAGAATCGACATAGGCCATTAGATTGCAGCACCATAATATAATTTTGGCAATATTTTTGAAATTGGGGTGTGCAGTTTTGCGGTTTTCACAAAGAAACAGTAATGTATCTGTAGATTTTGAAAAGATTTTGTTCGAATGAATTTAATCTCTATTGCATCGATTTGTATTAATTGGTTCGAAATGATAATCATATTAGTTTTGGATATAAATCCATGGTTTTTTTTATTTCGACGCATTTGCTGCGGATCTTGAAAATGTAATTTTATGACTGCGTTCATTTTCTCAGCAATAAATCGTACTAAAAATCAGACCTTTAGCATTGAGTTGTAAAATCCGCACACAAGCAAATAGAGAACAAGTGGATGGCGCGTTGCTTGCGAGTTTCTCGGTATGTTGTCTGACATCGCGTATAAATTATTACAATGATAGAAATGTAAGTGGCATTCATTTTGCTACGAATAAAACGGAACTAAAACTTCGAGATTGTACATATTTCTTATGCTCTCTCTCTCTATCTCTCTCTCTCTCTCTCTCTCTCTCTCTTTAAAATAAGAAAATACAAGATGAATTGCACTTATTTTTTGCCACAGATAATACTTCGGCTTAAAATAAAATGGAATGGAATTAAAGGGAAAAAAAGTAAAAAAAGACGACATAGCGTCTTGTTTGGAAATGAATAGAGAAAAAGAGTCATCAAGCCGCTGCGTCTGTGGAGAGATCTTGAAAATCAAACAAGACATACGGAAAAGCGAGTAAGAGAGGCAGATAAAAACGCAATTGTTTGAGCGTTTCATCTTTAGAATTGTTGATTAAGTGCTTATAATACCTACTCAACGATGGCACACACGATAACAATGTGACCAGTAACTCTTTCATTACCACTGTTTCTTATTCTATTTCAGTTTTTTTTTCTCGCTCATTTGTGGCGACTTGCAATGGTGCTATCGTTGCTACGCATACATTGTCCGACAACCGAAAAAGCAAATTTATGTGTGCGACCAAGCAAATAAAATGCACCATCCATACATACATAAACACATAATATTCGAATATTTGCGACGATCCTAT